GGGGGGGGGGGGGGGGGCAAGGGCGGCCAACTCCTCGCCAGCCCGATGCGACGACCAGTCGCGCGACGAACCACGACCGCTTGGCTCAGAGGATTCAGCCTGCAACCTAGCTCTAACCCTCCGAGAGTCCCTAAGAGGCGAGGCCGATCGCTCACGCGACAGGCCACCAGAGGCCTCAAGGGCATTCGGTCGAGACGGGACCTCCGTAGGCTCACAAGAGCCCTTCGAGGCACCCAGTCTCTCGCGCAGAGATATCTTCACAGGGTACAAACGACGCGCGAATATCTGGCGCTGCCTGAACGTGCCCACATACTTCGCACACAACGGACACCGCCATCCTTTGCCTGACGGGTAAAACTTATGAAACAGATCAGCGTCCTCACTTTTTTTGAGCTCTAGCCTTAGCTCCAGCGCGCCGACGCTCCAGAAAACGGGTTTCACCTGGGGCAACCGTGGCCCCCATGAACTTAGTGTGGGCCTTGGCAAGCCATATTAGGCCTTGCCTAGCCGTCCGAAACAGAGACTTGACCTGTTCAGCAACTTCGGTAGTGACGGCATGCATGCCACGGCCCTCGCAGGCCACAAAATCAGCCCACCTGTTTCCCCGAGCTTCGTACCCCTGGCCTTTTTGACCAGAGACGTGAACGATTTGAAGGGGTTCCGAAAGGCCTCCAAGATCCTCGGTACGTCGCCATATCTCACACCACAAATCTGCATTAGGCCGCCGTGGATGACATCCCCATGCAGGCCCTCTGTCACAAGGCCTTGTGGCAGATCAAGATAATCTGTGAGAATCCTGAGCGGAGGAATAGCCACGCGCAGTATCTGAACCACTGCAAACAACTCCGCTCTTGGCGATGCCTGTATCGGCCCTGGCAGCGGCCCGAAAACCACGAGGTCAATAGACTTGTTTCGGATCTGCGCAAATCCCCAGCCAGCTCGTGCAGCCTCTGGCCAGTAAGAATACGTGCGGCAAGCCCCATCAGAAACATGTCGCCTGCAACAGCACTTGCATCTCCATACAGAACTCGCCAAACTTCACTATCATCACGTGGCGGAGGTGATGACAGCATGGTCTTAGCGAGCAGGCCTCGAGCCCAACACCATGACGATGAAGAAACCTCAGGGAGACACGCCTGTTCTTCAGCGCTGCCAAATACATGTCTGCGCCCTTCCTCATTGGACGTGCAGGCCCATGGAACTTTGGAAAAGATCAGCATGCGGCGCAGGGCAGCACGGGCAAACCGCGTTGTCAACAAAACCATGCTTCGCCCGTCGTGATGGTGGCAAAAGTCCTCCAGTCACTAGTGCTCGTAGCGCCGCTGCTTGCTGCCGCGATAAAACGCAAGGCCTGTCAAGATCTTCTTCCTCCAACGTCCTCCCCAAACCACTCGCGACAGGTGCCAGCCAGTATCCCGCGGAATACTTCGGATCCAATTCAGCGCCGTGGCCACGGTCTGGGCGTCGTGACCAATCAAACCAAAGCCGCCGTTCAGCAGCTTCTCGGGCCAAATCGCGCACAGATAGTGGTGACCACGCGCGAAGATCGAGTTTGTCTCCCCGTCGGTTTGCCATTCGGAAGCGGACCGAGACACCCATCCCAAGTCTCGAATAGCTAAAGATATGACCCCAACAGGGCCCCGCCACATGCCCCCAAAGTTTGGCCTCGCTGTAGATAATCACGATCTGTCTAGCCCACGCCCGCTGGTGCACACCATGCAGGGAGCCGTCCCAACAGAGAAGTGCCCACTGGAATATGGTATCAGACCATGCTGAAACTTGAGGGTCTTGGGTGCTGCTGCCCTGGAGAAACGTAGATCTCCAAGCCGAGCCTTGCTTCCCAGGCTCGAACCGTGCGCCCCTGAGGGCACGACGCGCAGCGTGTACTAGTGAAGGAGGAGCCCCATGAACTCCAACCCCGAGGGTTAGAGCTTGTGGTATCGCCTGCTTGACGAATTTACCCAAGGGAGGACCTGACGAACTTTCATCTTCGCATGCGCCGAAATCGAGCCTGACGAACTTTCATCTTCCCGATTCGAGTCTTGAGACGAGCGTAGCGAATCTGCCTCCCAGTAGCCACCTCCACTCCCAGGACCGAGGGCGTCAACAACCCTATAACCTAGAACGCCGATGCGACGACATCTTAGCCTGGCAAACTTCAGGTTAGAGCTGGTGACTGTCATTTTTTCTTGGCTGTTCGGAGCTCAATACATTCTAGAGTGGACGCTAGCTCCGATAAAACATCACACGCATGCTCGACAATGTCCCCGACCGTGGAAACGACCTGGACCGTAGTGTCATCCGCATACAAGTGCAACGTACGATTCACATGACAAGTGACGGACAGCAGGGGGTCAATGGGGGTGAGGAAGACGAGTTGCCAGATGAGCACGGCCAAGCTGCATCCTGGCAGAATACCTCGCGTCGCCCACGCGGGATTCGCGCGGGCTCCTTCCCACCCGAGTCTGCGACTCGCTCTGTACATATGTAATGCTAGACGCAACAACTTACCAAGGAAACCCTGTCGCATGCCGGATGAAACGATCAACTTCCAACCAACTCGGTCGAAAGCCTTTTCCACATCAACTATCGCATGAAGTACCACGGCGTCGTCTGGCAACGTGGGGCACTTGCTCTGGCCCCCCTCCTGCAGCAGTACACGTGCGGCCACGTCTTTCGCGCATTTGCCAGAGCCTAAAGCGATATAATCTCTCCCAAGAGTCGATGCCCACTGACGAACATGCCCGATGCGAGCCTTGGCCCAGACGCGGCACAACGACACGAGCCCGGCGATGGGCGTGTAACCCCCTGTGGGCTTCCCAAGGAGAACGATGCGGATAAACTGCATGGGGCTGGGCCAGAGAGACCATTGCTCACACAAGTAAAAGACGTAGCCCATCAAAGACAGCGCCGAGTGACTTAATAAAGTCCAATGCCGAGGCCTGAACACGTCGGCCCCCGCAGCAGTCCTAGTCGGAAAACTCTTGGAGGCCCGCCGGAGCACAGCTATTCCCATGTGTGACGATCGAGCTCACCACGAAGCCCTTCAAGACATGCAGGCTCTTCGGCCCCGTCCCAGATGTCGGCCTGGAAGTCCCCGCTGCGCCCCCGCGACGTCGGAGGCGTGGCTGGACGGGCCGAGGGTGGTGTGCACCTGCGACAACTTCCAACATTTCGGCTTTGACCACAGATGTACGGGACGAGATCGATGCCCCAGACAATCTCGCAACCACTTCACGAAACCCTGGCCACGTGTTTTGCCGCACTCCTGCTCAACTTTGCGTGCAAGTTTGGCGGGCGCCGCGGCCGAGCACCGCAGCAGACATGCTTGATAGCACCAGGCCTGGCTCAAGATGGCGATCAGGTAAGATGACACTTCCAAATCAAGCCCAGTTGGGAGACAACCGGCCAGGCGTCGCATGCAACCTCTCCCTGCCATCAAGTCAATGATCGGCTGCCATATGGAATGATGCCTGCCTTGAGGCACGCAGCCGAACTTCAAAATAACGCGAGCAACGTCCTCAATGCGATGTTGCATCAAGCGCAGAGCCCGTGGCGTGGATGCACCTGCTGGCTCGTGGCGTGCCAGAGCGCCTCCCGCGGTCACGCAATGATATTCAATGCAGCCCCCACGGCCCATGTGAGCAGCAGGTTGCTCAAGATGAAACAGTGGAACGAGCTCTCGTTCAACGCCCTGGTACAAGTGACGGTACAAGCCATCAAGCCGCCGCTGACGACCTCCTGGGTCTCCTGGTCCGAGTTGAGCGTCGGCCTCCATCAGCTCAGTCCACGAGAACTGCGGGTCTCCCAGCTCGACCAGGTCCTCGTCCGAGTCGCTGTCGTCAAGCTTCGGCTGCTTGTCAGGCTTGGCAGGAAAGACTTTGGGCCCTCGAACTCGGACCACCTGTTGAGCCCTCGGCTTGGCGCCAAGCGACCCATACATGGGGTAGTGGGGGCGCGGGGCATACTCATGAACCCTCCGCGGCTTGCCCATCACCGCCGCCATACTATCGCTAGCTAGCCGATAGTCGATGTAAGTGAGAGCCCCCCGTCTTGGCAACTCGGTGCGAGCCCTCCTCCGCGACCATCAAATGACCGTCGACCTTGGAAACAACATCGGACTCGCTCAGCTCGGACGGGGAGATGTTCCTATCGCCGCCGACGACGAAGGGGGCACGGTAGAATCGCAGAGCCTCACCCAACCGTTGAAGCCGCTCGAGATTCTCGTGGGCCAGGCCCCTGCCTTGCTGTAAGTAAATCGACCCTGCTATAAATCCACCTCGGGGGCCTCCGTGGACGCGCAGAGCCACGCGCCGCGACTGAACGGGCACATGATCCCTGCGCTGCGGAAGACTGTCCAAGAAAGTCACCCCGATATGACTGCGAACGAAAAGCCCAACTCCAGCCATCATAGCTCCTGTGGGGCCTGCGAAGCAGTCGGTGATGAATGCGATCCAACCGTTCCTAGCACGCCACTCCTTAGCCAAGCGCCGATCGTCGCCGCGAACTCGCACCTCCTGAGAAGCAACCAGATGCGCTCCAGCAGCCCTTTCTTCCAGGAAGGAGCGTAGACGATGCCGCCCATTGGAATTATACGTAACAGAATTGAGCGATCGCCTCTGAGCCCGACGTGGTGCTCTGCGTTGACCGCGCGGAAAGTGATCCCCCGAAGGTCGGTGGGGCCCGCCGCCACAGGCGCGGGGCACTTGTGACGAGCCGTGCGTGCCAACGGGGCCAGGTCCCGAAGGTCGGTATGACTCGCCACTTAAGGCCGCCGAATGCACCGGTGACGAGCCGTGCGTGCCGACGGGAGTCGTAGATACTTGCCAAATTGTGGCTGGGCTGCTCGGGATGTACATAGCCTCACGCCGCTCAAGTCCCTTGCATGCCCAAGCCGTGGTGCAGGCAGTTCGCTAAGAGGAAGGTCATCCAGAGAATGCGCTGCCCCGTCGAACAGCATCGGCATTGGAAGATAGTATGCACAATCAGGTATTGGCCGCCTCCACGTCGGTGTCGTCCAAATAGAGCTGACGATCCCATGCTGTAGGATTGAGGCCGTGAGGATTAGGCTGCCCTGTCGCTTGCTGGGGCAGCTGGAACTGTGACTGCAGAAATGCCACCATTGTCTCAGCGTTGCCCGCCAGCAGCGCTGCAGGTACACCCTGAATGATAGTTTCAAGCCTGCCCATAGCTGCTTGAAGCTCGGGCTGCTCCGGACTGCCGATGCCTGCTCCCGTCTGAGAGAGAACTGCGGCACGAGCAACGTTGACCTCGATCTGGATCTGGCCAAGCTCCACCACCACCGCGTCGTGCGCCTCCTGCTTGTCGGCCAGCTGCTTCTTGAGCGAGTCGACTGCTGCCTTGAGCTCCTCCGCCTCTTTTGACTTGGCGTTGTGGCGGTCGAGCCCACGTCGGAGGAGATCGTCTGGGGTGCGGCGTGCCTTCTCCTTGGCCTCCGCCTCAACCAGGTCGCGCTTGGCCTGCTGGATGAGAGGGCGGAGTCGTCGTCCAGCCCGAGCTTCTTGAGCGCTCCAAATGCACGACGACACTTGGCCACCTCGTCGGCAGCGGAGGGTTCGGCACTCCCCCCTGCGGCGTCATCTGGCGATCCAGAGGACGGCTTGACTGACGACTGTCGAGAACGATAAAGGCGGCGCATCGCTTTGTCGGGTGCTCCAGCAGGGTCAGGTTGGCCTGCTTTGTCCCGTCCACACATGTAGCACCGCCCCGAGTTAGCGAAATTACGAGTGTAACCGCACTGACGAGTAGCCGCGCACGACCACCGTGGCTCCCGTGGGTCATCGCGCGGTAGTCCTCGACCACCTCGCCCTCCACCCATGGGCTGTGATCCGTGATGAGATGTCAGCAACTGCCTGGCCGATTCGAGCCGCAAGAGATGACGGGCACGTGACCGAAAACGCCGCTCCCGTCGGTGCCACGCTGGCGATCTGGATCTTGTGGCCGTCGCTGCTGCCCTGCACTGTCCTCGCCTGGGTGGACGCAGTGCAGAAAGAGAAAGCCGCCCCTGCCGATCGCGCGCACGGGGCCGCGGGCACGGGGCTGGGCGCAGGCAAGACGCACCGCGGGGAAAAGTCTCCCACGGCCCAACCCCACGCCTGCGGAGGAGGAGGAGGAGGAGGAGGAGGAGGAGGAGGAGGAGGAGGAGGCAAGCTAGGTGCGCTCGCGTCATATCTGACATCCTACCCCTCCCTCCCATCCCTTACCATGGCGCAGATCCCCTCTCTACTCGCACAGTCGGATGTCGAGCAGGGCAATGATCCCGAAAGGGTACGCGATGCATTGTAGAGCACGGCGTGGCATGGCGTAGGAGAGCACCGCGAAGCGTAGTATCAACCTAGCATTGGAAGTCATGCCGTGGCATGGCACGGGGAATGACGCCAGCGCTGCAGCGGGAGCACGAGTCGAAACGAGCGGAAACGCGGAAATGAGGCCAGCAGTGCAGCGGGATCACGATTCGGAACGAGCGGAAGCACGCCGGAATCGGCCCGGGAGGCTCCGGGCGCCAGAAGCAGAAATTCAGCATTTTCAAAAGAAAAATGTGTTTTGGAATGGCCTTTTTTCGGCGCCGCCTCGGAACTCGATTTTCTGGAGCCGGCCGGAACCGGCTCCGGACCCGGCCCGCCGGCGCCGGCTCGGGCGTGCAGCCTGGGCGCTGGTTCGGGCGCCGGCCCGGGCGTTGGAATCGGCCCGGGAGGCCTCCACGGCGCCAGGAGCAAAAATTCAGCATTTTCAACAGAAAAATGTGTATTGGAATGGCCTTTTTTCGGCGCCGCCTCGGAACTCGATTTTCCGGCGCCGGCCGGAACCGGCTCCGGACCCGGCCCGAGCGCCGGCCCGGGCGCCGGCTCGGGCGTGCAGCCTGGGCGCCGGCGGAAATGAGGCCAGCGCTGCAGCGGGGGCGCGATTCGGAACGAGCGGGCCCCGAAAATGAGGCTGGCGCCTCAGCGAGAGCAGCATTTTGGGAAAAACGTGCAGGCGAAAACCCAACTCCGGGGAAACCTGGTGTGTGAAAACCAATGCGCGGGGGGGGGGGGGTCGGATGCTCCCAAGCCGTCATCAGGGGAAAGAGGGAGAGTAGTATTCATATTCAATAAATGTAGAATGGGAGGAGGAGAATGGGAGGAGGAGGAGGAGGGGAGGAGGAGGAGAGAGGAGAGGAGAGAGGACGAGGAAGGAGGAGGAGGAGGAGGAGGAGGAGGAGGAGGAGGAGGAGGAGGAGGAGGAGGAGAGAGGGAGGAGGAGGAGGGAGGAGGAGGAGAGGAGGAGGAGGAGGACGAGGCTGGAGGAGGAGGAGGAGGAGGAGGAGGAGGAGGACGAAAAGGAGGAGGAGGCTCCTGAGGCTCCTGATGACACGCGCCGATCCGTCGGCGCCTGGCGCGCAGGCCGCGCCGCCCTGCCTATGTCGAGCAGCGGACGCCGAACCCGATGGCCCAACGCAAAACTACTGGCAGGCTACCCGTTACGACGCCTGCTACCAGAGGCCAGCAGGAGCCATGGCAGGCAGCCCACGCCACCGCGCGAGCCAAAGCTCGGCGGACCAGTAAGTTTTCCGAGCAGCGCCCAGCAGCGGCGACCCGCCACGAGCAGAAAACCGGCCCAACGGCCAAAAGCGAGGCGGAACCAGCGATGGCGACGAGACGCAGCCCAAGCCGAGCAGCGCCGACACCGCCACGGTCGACCTCAAGCCTTGCCCTCGATGGGCTTCACAGCCTCAACCGACTTCCCGATGGAGCCGCTCTTCGAGACCAGGAACCGCAAATCCTCCAACTCCTCCTCCAAGCACTGTGCCTCCGGTGTTGCCGCGTCCCGGCAGCATGCACCACCGGGCCCGTGGCGCCGCGCGGCATGCGCCACGCGTCTGGTCTGCCAGAACACCATGCCGAAAACAACCACCTCGATGAAGCCGACCTTGCCGAGCTTCTTCACCAGGAGGTTCACTCTGACGACGTCGTCGAAAACCCAAAAGATCCCAGCCTTGGTCGTCATCTTCTGGCAGGTCTTGTTCATCACACCGCTTGTGACGAACGTACCGCCAGACCGCAGACACCCATCGCGGCTCGCGGGCGCCGCGCCGCTTCCAAGAGCGCGCCCGCAACTCCTCCTTGAGCCAAAATGGCTTGAGCCAAAATGGCTACGGAAAAGCAGGAGGAGGAGGAGGAGGAGGAGGAGAAGAATGGGAGGAGGAGAATGGGAGGAGGAGGAGGAGGAGGAGGAGGAGGAGGAGGAAGGAGGAGGCGGAGGAGGCGGAGGGGGAGGAGGAGGGGAGGAGGAGGAGGAGGAAGAGGAGGAGGAGGAGGAGGAGGAGGAGGAGGAGGAGGAGGAGGAGGAGGAGGGGGATGATGATGATGATGTGATGATGATGATGATGATGAGGAGGAGGAGAGGAGGAGGAGGAGGAGGAGGAGGAGGAGGAGGAGGAGGAGGAGGAGGAGGGGAGGAGGAGGAGGAGGGGAGGAGGACGAGGAGGAGGAGGAGGAGGACGAGGACGAGGAGGAGGAGGGAGGAGGAGGAGCAGGGGAGGAGGAGGAGGAGGAGGACGAGGAGGAGAGGAGGAGGACGAGGACGAGGAGGAGGAGGAGGAGGCGAGGAGGAGGAGGAGGAGGAAGGAGAGGAGGAGGAGAAGGAGGAGGAGGAGGAGGAGGAGGAGAGGAGGAGGAGGAGGAGGAGAAGGGAGGAGGAGGAGGAGGAGGAGGAGGAGGAGGAGGAGGAGAGGATGGAGGGGGGAGGAGGAGGAGGAGGAGGAGGAGGAGGAGGCGGAGGAGGGGAGGGGGAGGAGGAGGGAGGAGGTAGGAGGAGGAGGAGGAGGAGGAGGAGAAGGGAGGAGGAGGAGGAGGAGGGGAGGAGGAGGAGGAGGAGGAGGGGGATGATGATGATGATGATGATGATGATGATGATGATGATGATGATGATGATGATGATGATGATGATGATGATGATGATGATGATGATGATGGAGGAGGAGGAGGAGGAGGAGGAGGAGAGGAGGAGGAGGAGGAGGGAGGAGGAGGAGCGGGAGGAGGAGGAGGAGGAGGAGGAGGAGGTCGAGGAGGAGGAGGAGGAGGAGGAGGAGGAGCCCCTGGCACGACGCGGAAGAGCGCGTCACATTCTACGGTTTCCCCAGGCCTCGGGACACGCGCTGTCCCTCGCTGCGGCCTCCCGTGCGGCGCCCAGGCAGCCCACCAAAACCAAGGTGCTGGCCTGGCACGGCAACGCGAACTTGCCGCAGGCAACTGCATAGCATCCACCGTGCCTCTGAGATGCCCCACTACATACCCTTAGGTCGGGCACGTCCTCCTAAAGACGGATTCCTGACGAAAAATAAAGCTAGTAACACATACAAAATGGTCAAACAAATCGTCCCCTGACTATTTTTTGACTATTTTTGAATATTCCTCGTGTGGAAGGACAGGCCCGACTTAAGCATACCCCCCTCAGACGGCTTCGAACGGCCACATAATCCCCCAAGGATGCCCCCGAGAGTCCGAATCCATTCCACGGTCCAAGCAGGGGTCTTCTCTCTTCAGGAGCAAACTCCAGGTAGGGGTCTTCTTTCATTCAGGTAGGGGTCTCCTTTCTGCTGGAGTAATTCAGAACAGTTCTGAGCAATGCGCAGCAGTGCAAGGCATTGCTTGGAATCGTTGCCTGGCATTCCTTGGCTTTGTTCTTTGTTTGGTGTCGCTTGGCAATACTTGGTGTTACTTTGCATTGCTTGGCATTCCTCGGCGCTGCTTGAAGTGCACTGCTTGGCATTGCTTAGAAGCGTTGAGTGATACTGCTTTGCATCGTTGCTTGGCATTGCTTGACGCTGCTTGGCATTGCTTGACGCTGCTTGTCATTGCTTGGCGTTGCATGGGGTTGCTTGGTCGGCCCAAAGGCATGGCCTAATCTGAATACTGCCACACACGCTCGAGCACGCACGGAAAACACGACACACAAAAGGCGGGAGCAGACAAGGAATCATGAGACTGAGTGCAGCAGCGCCTGATCGATTGGTGCTTTCGGACGGCACAGCTGTGCCACTGTGTGTGCCTCCAGAGGTGGCCTCAGGGCGTGCGTTCGGGCCAGATCGGTCAAGCGGGCTTTCAGGGCAGAGCGGCACTTCCGCGTCCCTCCAGGAAGTCCGCTGACCACATTGGCGCGTAAGTTACAACCCCTTCTTACAGCTTCTCGATCTTCGATGATCTCGCAACTCACTCGATCTTCGGATGATCCTCCAACCGGATACCACTTGAGCATCCTACCACAAGCTTGCCATTGCGGGGGTTTGTTTTGCTTTGCATTGCTTTGTGTTGCTTGGCATTGCTTTGCGCTGAGTGGCATTGCAACTTTGCTTTGCCTTCCTCGGCATTTTGGACCGATAAACCTCGGACAGCCCTGGGGAACGTGGGGCAACCTGGCAACTCAGGAAGCTGCTTGACGTGGATTGACACTGCGGCTTTGCTCTGCGTGGCGTTGCTCG